TCAGACGCAACGACACCACTATCTAGGGACGATAATGTGGATAAGATGGATGATGAAACGGATGGTATTGAACTAGTACTGATTGGCTTGGAGATTATCAGGCTCGCAACAATCAGATGAAGCTTTTATTTTGTTGGGTGTCTTTCAGTCTGGAGTGAGACAGATGTCGCAAGCGAAAATGGATCTAATGATGAAGCGGATGATCTGCCTCCCGACAGCTCTAGTTACACAGGTGAGTCACTACTACGGTATTTGCATCACAATCTGTGAATTTGTATTCTTGCAATCAAATTGTTCGGAAGTGCTTCAACTTGAAGCGACGATTCGTTGGATGAACTTTATATAGCTCATTTCAGGGTCAAGCAGTGACACTGGATTACGCGAAAACGATAATGAAGTAGGACAAACCAGTATTTTGGGTGACGACTCGTCACTGACGAGAAGGTCAACAGCGAAGATTGGGATGATGGCGGGTATCCCTCTGATAACCGGTCATCGGCAGATGATGATAATGGCAACAATAGCGATGATTGGGATGATGATGAGCATCCCTCTGATAACCGGCCATCGGCAGATGATGATAATGGCAACAATAGCGATGACTGGGATGATGATGAGCATCCCTCTGAGAAGTGCCCGTCGGAAAAGGATCATAATAACAACAATAGCGATGACTGGTAGGATGATGGGAACCCTTGTGACAATGTCCTTTGGAAAATGAGTAATAACCGAAGTCTTGCATGAACTATATGAGCGTTTATTCATTAGACAACAACAGGCATCAGCAAATACAAGGGAGAAAAGACAACGGAGCTCAAGAACCTTGAGTCACAATAACTAGTCAATGAAGCTGTAGATATACTTTTGTCATGTTTTCCGTTGTAGTCATAATTGATGTGGTTGAGTTCCGCGGAGCCGAAAGCGAAGACTTCATGCTAATCGTGTCACGCGATTCGAACAAGATATATTCTTACACACGATTCGTGTGTAAGGTAACATCTTTCAAGTACATACAACACCCATCACTAATCCAAACATATAAAGGTATATGTATACCTTTCTTGGATTTAGGGGCTTAGCTTGGATCAGCGGATATTGTTTGGACTACAGAGTGTTGATTGGACTAAGGTATTTTTCCGTTTGTACCCGTGACGATAGTGCACTGGCGTGTGCGACCGTCACGGCGTCCTTCGCGCCGGATCGATCCGCTCCCTGCGGTTGCCGTCTCCTTACCGAGGTTCGAGCTTTCTTGACATGCTCGGCTTCGAACCAACAGTGCTCATAAGTTATGAGTTATGACCTTCCTCTAGGTTGCGGATCTTCAGTCCCGTGACGTATGTTCGGATTGTGCTATACGGATAACCCACCTTGTCCGTGCCGGAGACAGAAGCGAGCAGTATCTCCCTGCCAAGGGGATAGTTCTTCACGGATCGGCTGCCTCCCCGAACAGTATGTCCCTCAGAAGTGCGCCGACG